AGGTATTTACCTTCTTCGCTGGAGCTTGAATCAGAAATTTCGAACCAAACAGGGGCTTTGAGATGATCCTCAGACACTTGCCCTTTAGGATGGTGACTTTCGCTTCCCCGGGAAGGTCTTGGATCGGCTGATCGGAGCTCAGTTTTAGAGCTTCCCGATTAGCCCTTTTAAGTTCACCTGGGGAGGAGGTAGGGGTGAGCGGTTCCAGGTTCCGGATAGGTTCCGCCCGGAACCTGGAACCTACCCTTGGGTACAGGTTCCTCAAAATGAGGAACCTGGAACCTACCCGTCGGAACGTGGAACCTGGAACCTACCCTGTCACAGGTTCCAGGGTCGGTTCCAGGTTCCAACATGTTCTTTTTTTATTATTTTTTTTTAGTTAATCAAAACGAAAATGAACATTCATAAAAAAGAATACAAAAGACAAATTATAGAAAAGTCACATTTTTTCTTAAAAGAAAGGGGATAGCACGATAAATAGTAATTGTTGGGATGCAATACATATGACTTTAAATTCCAAGGTAAGATGCCACATTTTTCTCAATACATATCACCTTTCTCCCCATACATGCTGCAAAAGCACAAAAGCAGAAGACCAAAGCTTAGAGAATACAAAAGCTTAGAATCTTCCAACCAACCTCGTCCTGGCCTGCTCCATTGAAAGAAGCCCCATCTGTGACATCCCGAATTTTGGCCCATAGTTTGGATTTATAAAACATGTAATTCGTCAGTGTGCTTATAGTAAAAATCTCGCCCGGGAACTGATCACTCCCGGTTATTATTTTAAAATTGAAATTTCGATAGAATCGCACTCGATCGAATTTGGCCGTTATTTAGAGCCCAAACTTTGGTGTCGAATTTCTTGGAGTTTCGGGACGAATTTAATTGGACGGTGTCAATATTATTGTGGCCAGCCTCGAGATTGCCCGGAATATGTGAAAAACGGATTTTTGACTGGGTGCGGATTTGGACTAGTAGACCTCCCTCGTGGTAGTTTGATTTAATTAATTTGGCCTTTGTCCCTTATTATATTCTAGGATTAATTTTGGACCGTTAGATCATTTTTGGATTCGAATTGTGACCGTTGTATCGCGATTATTACGATTTGACTTTTCTCTCTCTCCTCTCTTTCTCTCCCTTCCCTTTTCCACGCCGGTCCCCCCTTGCGTCTGACACCACCAGCCCCCATCATTTCCTCTCTTCTTCTTTTTCTTTTCTTTTCTTCTTTTTCTATTCTTTTCTTCCCTTCTTCTTCTCCTTCGCTGGCTTGCCCCCGACGCCGCTGCTTCTGGCTTCTACTCCTCCTTGTTGCTCGCTCGATCACGCCTTGCCAGCGACCAGCCCAGCCATTGCCGCCTACCGCCTTGCGCCGCCATCACCTCGACTGAGCCGTGACCGCCCTTGCCGGCCCTGCCCGCCTGTCGCCGGCCCTGCCTGCGCTGCAAGCGAGCAGCAGCTTGCCGCACCCGCCGCGATCCGGCGTTGCCCGGCCGTCCGCCGGCTCGTCTCTCCCGTCGCCCGGCCGCCCGCGACGCCGCCGTGCCGCCTCCGGCAGGCTGCGCGACCTCCTCTCCCCCCGTGTCTCTCTTCCCGCGCCTTTCCCCGGCCCCGGCCTCGCCGCAGCCCGCGAGCCGCCGTCTCCACCAGCCCCGCTCCGCCTCCGCCACCCGCTCTTTCCTCGCCCACCTCCGCCGCCCCGTCGCTCCCTCCTTGGCCGCCACCACCTCCCTTCCCCGTTTTTCTTCCTCCCCGACACCTCCCCGTTTTGGGCTCTCCCCGCGCCGCCGCCCAGCCGCCGCGCGTCGTGTCGGGCGCCGCCATCGCTCCGTCCGCCACCACCCAGCCCCCAGCGACCCTGTCCAGCCACTTGCAGCCGCTGTGCTAGCCGGGACCAGCCCAACCGCCGTTGTCGTCGTCGTCGCCCGAGCGTCCCGGGCCATGGCCGAGCTCGCCTAGCCACTGCCCAGCCAGCCCGAGCGTGCCCAGGCCGTGGCCGGATTGCCCCGGGCCGTGGCCGAGTCGCCGGGCCGTGTGCCAAGCCGTGGCCGAGCCCCGCGCCCGTCTCGCCCTCGCCGTTACTGTTCATCCCGGTCCGTTACTGTTCATCCGGCCCGTTTTGAACCCGTGCGGGTTTTTCTCGGGCCAAACTTAGGTAAGTGACCTCTTATTCCTTATTTAGGACTTTGGGTATTTTTAGACTTGTTTAGGATGTGCTTGGTACCGGGTTAGGAATTAAATTAGGCGTGGGCTAATTTGACTGATTGTGCTCAATTTGTGAATTATTGTGGCGGTAATTGTGTGGCTAATTTAGTGATTGACTGAGATAAATAGCATGACTGAATTATCGTGGCGCTTGTGGGTGAATTGGATTAATTGAATGTGTTGACTTGAATGTCGGAATCGTGAGCTTGTGAATTGAAATTGGGATGATTGTGGGTGCATATTTGTGGCTATTGTGGTGAGTCAATGATTGGCTTATCGTGGCGGTTGTGAGTGGAATTGATAGTTGAATGTGACCGACTTGAAGGTCGGGTTGGTGGAATATTGTGGTGAGCATGCCTTGAGTTTGATTGGTACGACTTGTGAGAATTTCGAATTGTGTTGTGGTGCATGTGCATGAGACAAGCCCGGATTGATCGGAGGGCTACGGACTTGGGACGTGTTGACGGCGGTCCGTGTGAAGGCATGAATGGCCGGTGTGCCAAATGGATGCGGGCTTGAGACGTGTTGACGGTGGCCCGTTGAAGGTGTGTTGGACCGGGACGTGTTTACGTCGGTCATTGGAAATTGAGCTCGGATTGATCGGAGGGCTACGGACTTGGGACGTGTTGACGGCGGTCCGTGTGAAAGCATGAATGGCCGGTGTGCCAAGTGGGCCTGAGGCGCAGTGGCGCGGGCAGTGAGAATAGACTTGAGGCGCAGTGGCACGGGTTGTGAGAAAGATGTTCGGCCATGCATGCGATTTGAGTGTGATTGAATTGACTGGTTGAGCGTGTGATTGAATTGGCTGGTTGGATGTGTGGTTGAGTTAATTGGATTGATTGAGTGCAAGTGTGGTTGGTGTTTGAGCGATTGTGATGTGTTATTAAATTACTATTATTGCATTATCACGTTGTAACTAACGTGCAGAGTTGGCATGGGCTTGATGACGAGGTAAGTACAATGATGCGAATTTTATATGTTATGGGGTAGATTGCGTGTACGACTTGTCTGGGTACGCATTAGCCTATGTGGGGTATAGGGGGTTGCTTATTGAGACTCGTTCTCACGGTTATTATATAACCATTTTCAGATCCGCGACCGTGATTGATTGGAGACACTACCAGGGTATCTCGGGGATGGAGGACGGGTCAAGTTACCTCATATTTTGTGTGCCCCTCTTTTGTATAGCGAAGTAGGATATCCCACCACTGTTCCGTTTTGATGTTATGTATTTGGAATTATTGTTTCGTGCTATTGCTACCCCTTGTCATTATTAATTGTCTGGGTTGTTTCTATTTGTTTCCGCGCGTGCCTAATCTCTGATGTTTGGGTTGGGTTGGCGACGTGCCTGGGACCTCGCATTCAATGATCGACCATCGAGGGATGATCGCGCGCTCGTAGGGTGCGGGACGTGACACCATCACAGTACCGTATCCTTACTCTGTTCCAATTGAAAAAATCTGCCAGCAAAGCACAATCGCTCGTATGACAGTTCCAATTTGAATAAACTATGGCAAAGAATCGTTTCGAGACAGATTGAATCGTTAATATATTTTAAATACCAGGGTTTTCTTCAGCTTTATTACTCAATATTCCTGTGAAAGCTACTTCCTTGTCCATAAACTTTGATGAACCACGACGAGTAGTTTTCCTGTAAACGCAATTCCTCACTGTATTGCACCATCCCCCACCCTACAACAATGTAAAACAACATCAAATGGCTTATAGAAAATGCAGACAGAAAAAGAATCAAGAATTGGAGTGCCATGAAGAACTGAGCAAGAAAACCATGCAGTAGAGAAGAAATAACATAAGTTTGCAAAATTAACTAGCTTAAGTATGCTCTTTTAAATCATATAACATAAAGTCCATTCAACAAACCTCTAAATGGACCACCCAACTGTTTGCACCAGATCCAGAGCCATTGTGAAGATGATAACCGGGCAATGTACCATCTAAGCAGACTGAACATTGTAGAACAAGATTAAATGAGAACCTCAAACATCAATTTTTCAGCTTCGAATATTCTCAAAAAAACACCCAAAAAAAGAAGAAGAAGAAAAACCTTGTCATTCTACCGTGAGCTCAAACGAAACAAGCAAAACAACCAATGGCACGAGGATGTTAGGAACAGAACAGTGGATCAACCAAAAGAAAATCTCTACGAAATAAGACGCGAGCCCGTCTTAGTTACGTGCACAATAATCAATATCTGGAAAAGCGAGAGCAGAATTCTAACCGGGGACACAAAATAACGTAGCTTAATAAACAAGAAAGACCAAAATCTTGTAAATCCATAAGTTGCCTACGAATGAAGTGAACCCAAACACTACTACATACAGAGAAACACCAACCTTCTTAACTATGAATCCCGCACCACTTACGAGCAGAAAGTCATTAAAAAAATGGGGGGCTGTTAAGAAAAGTCTGAGAAAGTACCAGCTCCTTTGGCAGCAGCACCCTCAATGAGAGTGAGGCCAACCATGAGCTCACTCATGATTGTTTCCCCTTTGGCAGCAGCAACAAAAAGAGCAAATCTCGAAGGCCCTTAAGATACGATCGCAATCGACAATTAACCAATCGGTTAACTCCCCCCCTTCCCTCTCCTCACATTCAATCGGGGTCAGATCCACTGCATTTTCCCTCTCCTCACATTCACTATGCGATGAATCCAGATGAATGTGCACGCAAGAGCACGATTTCACGCAACTAAGGCACGATCGTCGTGACTTAATTCAATCGATCGATGCAAAAGATGAACAGAAGCAACGGTGGGAATTCAAAGAGAGAAGGCGTGAATGGCAGGGGTTGTTCGAAGACGTTACGTACCAGAGCGACGGAGCTTCAGAGGAGGAAGACGGCGGCGAGCCCGAATAATCGCAGCGAATCCGCGTGGGGAGATCACGAGACCTGCGGCGAAGAAGGCGGAGCGAGGCGGAAGCAGGAGAGAACCGCGGAAGCGGGAGCGAGGAGCAAGGCGAAAGCAAGAAGCGGGAGCGAGGCAGAAGCGGGAGCGAGGCGGAAGTGGAAGTAGGAGCGACCGAGCGAGAAGCAAGGCAGAAGCGAAAGCGGGAGCGAGGCGGAAGTGGAAGCAGGAGGGACAAGATGGAGGGACAAGGTGAATTAGGGTTTCTAAATACCAAATGTGTAGTTTATGTTTTAATTTTTAGGGATCCGGTTCCTGGTCCCGGTTCTTGGTTCCGGTTCCGGTTCCCGGTTCCGGTTCCGGTTCCGGTTCCTATAGGAACCGGAACCGGAACAGCCGGGTCCTAAAAATGGGGAACCAAGAACCGGACCCTCTATCCATGGAACCTGGAACCGAACCGGACCCACCGGGTCCGGTTCTCCGGTTCCCGGTTCTACCCTGGAACCGCGCTCACCCCTAGGAGGAGGGCCTCCTTGGGAGACCGATTCGCCGGCAACGTTCCGTCGGAATAGCGTCGGTCACTCAACTCAGGGGACTTCCACTCCCCTTTCTCTTTGGTTTTCCTTCTTTCTCTCTAGTTTTCTCTCTCTTTCTCTTTGGCTTTCTGTTAAACAAGTGATCTCTGTGGGAACTAAGCTTTCCCGCCCCTTTTGATCACCTCATCTGGGCCGTTTCGAGCTCTAACCGACTCCCTAGTCAATTAGGTCTGTTGGGGATGGACAACCGGAGATTCTCCACCATTCCATCTCCCTTTGACACGTGCTAGAAATGGAGAACTAAGTCGGTAAAGGGGCGGGCCGAGTAGGTTTTTCCCTCTCTTTCCCAGCTTGGAATTGAGTCTGGTAAGGGAGATGAAGACTCGGGTTGGGTCGGGTCGGATTTGATCGACTTGGCTGACCCTAGTTGATTAAATTTGCAAATTAGACCCCAATTTGACCCATTTTTGCAATTTTAACCCCAAATTTAGGCTCCTTGACACATTTTACCATAGAATATGAGTTCAATTTGAATTTTCATTTTAATTAGGCCAAAAATCCCCAAATTTGAATTTGGTTAAGTTGGGTTTTTGTTCAATTAAGTGTCCAAATGACCTAATTAAGCAAAATTGAGGCCAAAATTGAATTACCCATGCTCAATTAACCCTAGGGAAGGTATATGTTTCGAATGAAAATTTCAAATTGAATGAAATCCCCTATTTGGTCCTAAAATCCCTAATTTTCAATTAATTTTGGAGTTTTTTTTTATATATTTTCATCCAATTGTGAAATTGGATTGACCAATGTACAATTCATGGTCTCAGAATCAATTGTTGTGAAGACACTATAGCCCAAAAACAACTAGAAATGACTTAATTGGATTTTTGGTTCAATTAGGATATGAAATTCCCCAAATTTGGGGAAAACATATTCCTAATTGAAATTTTGTAAAATTGACCTTGTAGGGATAAAAATGGAATTAAAATAAAACTAATGACTATTTTTGTGGAATTTTTGAATTCCATTTGGTATTTTCCTTGATTTTCTTCCTAATTTTATTAAAATAAATTAACTAAAAATTAAAGAAAATCAAGAAATTTTTTTTTTTGTTTAGAAATAGGTTCCTAAACATGCCCAAGGTTCCTAGTCCTAATTTTGTAATTTTTATGTCAAATTAAAAAATAGACAAAAAATCAGGTGTCAATAGTTGCTTCTATTTGAAATTAAGCTTGTTAGAGGTTGATTTCAAAGAAAAATGACATTTGAATCCTAGTCGACTCAACTTAAAAAGACAAATGAAAGTTTCACAACAAATGATAAGGGATCTTTACTCAAAAATTTTGTTTCAAATCCAATTTTTCGCTTTGGTGCCTTTTGATGAACTTGTTGATTATTGAGAGAGAAATGAGCTTACCTGTGAGTGAGAGCTTCTTCATTGATTATTTCAAAGAGTAGATTGATGATTGTGAGGAATAAGATTTTGATCTTCTGGTTTTAAGGACAAACCCACCAACCCTTTGAAAATTAGGGTTTAAGGAAAAATCCAGAAACATTTGAAAATTTAGGGTTTAAGGAGAGATCCATAATCATTTGAAAATTTAGGGTTTAAGGAGAGATCCATAATCATTTGAAAATTTAGGGTTTAAGGTTAGGGTTTAAGGAAGACCCAGAAACATTTGAAAATTTAGGGTTTGAGGGAAGACCCAAAACCATTTAAAATTTTAGAGTTTAAGAGAAGACCCAAAACCATTTGAAAATTTAGGGTTTAAGGGAAGACCCAAAACCATTTAAAATTTTAGGGTTTAAGGGATGACTCAAATCGTTTGAAAATTCAAGTGATTTTAATGTTGAAACATGCATTTTCTGTGTTTTTGCATTTAGACAATCAAACTTCCTTCAAAAGGATATATTTGAGCAAATTACTTGAAATCTTTCAAGAAATGCTTATGATGATCAATTGGAAGACCTTCATTAGAAATGATTTATATCAATCTATGAATTGGCCTTTTATCTTCATTCGTTGATACGGGAATCATTTTGTATTTCTCAATTTATCTTTCATAACTAATCCTCGGGTATTCACAGATATTTGCAATGTATATAATTTGACTGATCTGATAAGGTCTTTTTAAAGGATCGTAACATATGCTTGGTCAATGGCTATTATAAGGATATACATTTTGAGGCCAAGAAGGAATTTCATCATTTTCTGATTCACTTCAGATCTACAAGTTAAGAACCTCGAGGACAAGACAATACAATATTGCCCACACTTCTTTAAGCGATGGCTTCTGATATGAAATTACGTTTCCACTCTCAACATCCAAATCTGAAGAGTCTTTGGGGAGAGATTGTAATATTGGTATAAGGTAGGTTCAAAAGGCTAATTTGTTTTTGGCTTTAGGGTTTTTATAAAATTGGTGATCCTCTTAGCACCACCACCCTTTTCTCTAGTCCATTGGGGATCTTTCTGCTTTTTATGACCACAAGAGTCTTATAAATGCTCATTATGGTCTTTTCCTTTTCAACTTCTAGCCTTTTGTGATCTTTAATCTTTCCATGACTTTTGTCTTTTGTTTTTCTTCTTTTGTTGTTGTCTCTGACACTGCTCTTTTGAATACTCTTTCTTTTCTTCTTTTCTTTGCTCACATTTCACTGGGCATCGGGCTTACTTTTACTAGGCACACTACTTTTTCATGCCCTTGATTCTTATTGCATTTGCATTCCTGATTCTTTTTGCTCTTGACCTTTTGAGCTCTAAGGACTTTTTGTCATGTCTTTTTGTTGCTATCAACCTGAAGTTTATCACATGCTCTACCCCAGTGTGAGGAGATGATCATCAATTTGGATTTGAAAATGAATATTCAAGCTCAATTGGTCTTTACAAAAGATAATGTGTTTGGGATAAGAAATGAAATGCTCTTCTTCCTTTTGGGATGTTTTGAGCTTCCATATAACTTTATCTGAAGTTATCACAAAAAAAATTGAGCAAGTATGTACAATATAATCTTTTTTGATCCTTTTCTCCATAAATGTCAACCACGAACCTCCTGATTTACCTCAATGTGAGGTGGTTCTTAACAAGGTTTTTTTTTAAAAGCTTCTTCATTGTTTAGGCTCAAATTTGGCTTACAAGGGATGATCATGTGTTTAAGATAATGAAATAATTGCCTTTCATCATTTCAATCCATATAATCATTGCAAATATCCATTTTTCCTTTAGATGAGGTTACTTCTTACTTTTGACACTCACTCTTCCCTTCCACTCGAATGTATAAAGGACGTGTTTGGATATGGCTTACCTTTCTTCATTTGAACGTCTTTCATTTGATTTTATCCAAACATTTTCTTTGAAATCATCCTCTTTGGAGAATCCTGATGTGTAACACATATTCAAAGATTGCATGTTCAAACCATTGGTTGAAACACTTTGAGATAATCTTTGAAATGATTCGTTTTGATTTCACGTTAATCCGCTTAGGAAACAAACTTAATTCTTTTCGAAAAAGTGAACTTCTGGAATCCCTATAAAAATTAAAACCAAGTGTCAAAATAGGTTCTCGCATTGTTCATTTTAAATTGAAATGATACAACCAACCTCTTGTCTGTTCTGACTTGAGTTTTTATGAAAGATTGTCTCTTCAATCTTTTGCTCTGATTTAATTTGCTTGGGGAATTGAACTCCTTTTGAATAAAACCCCCTTTTAAAGGTTCAATTTCTTTTCAAAAGGGACCTGGAATACTTACCTTTTCCAGCTTAAAAGGAATTCGCCAACTTCCTCATGTACTCTAATTTGGTTCCATGGGGGATTCATTTTTCAGGACTTCTTTCCTTTGGATTCCCTGAAGATGACAAGAACATGCCAATGAATGTCATTAAGGAGGGTAAATTGGAACGCCACATCCCTTTACCTTTTACCTACTTATTTCATATTGTCCTAAGCTCCTCCTGGCTTCATTCTACAAAATGAACAAACATGAGGATGCAATGCATGATATGTAACTGTCCTAAAGTGGCCTAAATCATCTTTTGAAATGTCCAATCTGCCTTTTCACTTCATTCATGGGTATAATATTTTGACTGTATCTGAGTTTATAGGATAAGCCAAGAAAAAACTACTTTTACTTGTCCCTATGGTACTTTTGCCTATAGGAGGATGCCTTTTGGTCTTTGTAATGCGCCTGCTACTTTTCAAAGATGCATGATGGCTATTTTTTCTGACATGATGGAAAAATATATTGAGATATTTATGGATGATTTTTCTGTTTTTGGCTCATCTTTTGATTCATGCTTGAATAATTTAGCTTTGGTGTTACAAAGATGTGAGGAGACTAACCTTGTCTTGAATTGGGAGAAGTGTCACTTTATGGTGCAGGAAGGGATTGTGCTAGGCCATAAGATCTCTATAAGAGGAATTGAGGTGGACCGAGCTAAGATTGAAGTTATTTCAAAACTGCCGCCTCCTACCTCTGTGAAGCTTGTTCGAGGATTTTTAGGACATGCAGGATTTTATAGGCGTTTCATTAAAGATTTTTCTAAGATTGCTAGACCCCTTTCTAAATTGTTGGAAAAAGATTCTAAATTTGACTTCTCTGATGATTGTTTGCAGGCATTCAACACATTGAAGGAGAAGTTAATTTCGGTCCCTATCATGACTGCGCCTACTTGGGATTTGCCTTTCGAGTTGATGTGTGACGCTAGTGACTCGGCTGTTGGAGCCGTACTTGGACAAAGAAAGGATGGAATTTTTCGAACCATATACTATGCAAGCCGCACCCTGTCTGGAGCTCAATTGAATTATGCCACAACTGAAAAGGAGCTTTTGGCGGTAGTGTTTGCTTTTGATAAATTTCGCTCTTATTTGATTGGTTCCAAAGTCATTGTTTACACTGACCACTCTGCTCTTAAGTATTTGCTTGAAAAGAAAGATTCAAAACCTAGGTTGATTAGGTGGATCTTACTGCTGCAAGAGTTTGACTTGGAAATCAAAGACAAGAAAGGGAAAGAAAACTTAGTGGCCGACCATCTCTCTAGATTGCCGAATGCCCCTGTGGAAGAAAGACCAATCCTAGATGAATTTCCTGATGAGGTACTTTTCTCTGTCAAAACCGAAACCCCTTGGTATGCTGATTATGTTAATTTCTTGGTAAGTAAGGTTCTCCCTTCTGAATTGACTTATCAACAAAGGAAGAAATTCTTTTCTGATGTTAAACACTATTTTTGGGAGGATCCTTTCTTGTTTAAGGTATGTGCTGATCAAGTTATTAGGCGATGTGTTCCCAATGAAGAAATACCTAACATTCTTTTTCATTGCCATGATGGACAGGAAGGTGGTCACTTCGGTGCCTCTAAGACTGCAGCTAAGGTTTTACAATCTGGATTTTATTAGCCCACACTTTTTAAAGATGCTTACTCCTTTGTAGCTTCATGTGACCGGTGTCAGAGAACTGGAAATATTTCTAGAAAAAATGAGATGCCTTTAAACAACATTATTGTGTGTGAATTATTTGATGTTTGGGGTATTGATTTCATGGGACCCTTTACATCTTCTTATGGTAATTTATACATTTTAGTGGCTGTGGAGTATGTGTCTAAGTGGGTAGAAACTGTAGCATTGCCAAAAAATGATGCTAAGGCTGTTGTCAAATTCTTGAAGAAAAATATTTTTACGCGATTTGGCACTCCTAGGGCAATCATAAGTGATAGGGGGACACACTTTTGCAACAAACAGTTTGAAGCACTTTTGAGTAAGTATGGAGTCACACATAAGGTTGCAACCCCTTATCATCCTCAGACTAGTGGCAAGTAGAGGTTTCAAATAGGGAAATCAAGAGAATTATAGAAAAAACAGTGAATGCCTCTAGGAAAGATTGGTCAATGAAACTTGATGATGCACTTTGGGCCTATAGGACAGCATTCAAAACCCCAATTGGGATGTCTCCTTTTAGGCTAGTGTTTGGGAAGGCTTGTCATCTACCGGTGGAATTAGAGCACAAAGCATATTGGGCATTGAAATTTCTGAATTTTGACATGCAGTCTGCAAGTGAAAGAAGATTGTTGCAACTAAATGAATTGGAGGAATTTCGCAATGAGGCCTATGAAAATGCTAAGATGTACAAGGAGCATACCAAAAGATGGCATGATAAACACATATTCAGAAGAGAGTTCGAAATTGGCCAAAAAGTTTTACTTTATAACTCTCGTCTTAAACTTTTTCCAGGAAAGTTACGTTCTCGATGGTCTGGTCCTTATACAGTCACACAGGTATTTCCATACGGAGCAGTTGAAGTTGCACATGACACCGAAGGCACATTTAAGGTGAACGGTCAACGTTTGAAGCCCTACTTCGAAGGTGGTTACAACAAGCAGAAGACCACTATTGAACTTCATCCTCCAGAATAACGACATCTGAGATAGTTTGGATGAAAACTATAAAGCAAGCGCTTCTTGGGAGGCAACCCAAGCATTTTTATTATGTTTCTTCATTAATTTTTACGTTCATTTTTTTTCAAAAAAAAACATGATTAATTTTTTTTTATCCAGGTTAATTTTCTTTTTTGAAGGATCACCTTTTTGGAGTTTAGTCATCAAGACCATCCATGGCCACGTCCTACAGCAAGGGGAGTTTTCTTGTTCCTATTTTTCTTTTGTTTCTTTTGTTTTTCACATTGAGGACAATGCTTTATTCAAGTTTGGGGGGGAGACAAAATTTTTGCTAAATTTTTATGATTGCATTCCTTGTTGTGAATTGTTGCGATTCTTAGGAAAATTTAAATTTTGTTCAAACTTGCAACTGATATGTGAGTTAATTTTGATTCTGATTATGTTGATCCACTTCCTGAGTACTAGAAGTCCTTAATTTTTTAGTAGTGTGTACATCTAGAGAACATTCACGTGAAGTATGTGCTTTTCTTAGATCTCACCCAAATCTTAGAATTTGTTTGATTTTCTCTTGAGGCGAAATCCTAGGCTACATCTAACTGAGAAAATGATTTAGGCAATTTTTGGATCGATTGAGCCTTTCAAGCCAACCCTGTTTATTTATCCATAGTCACCCCCGTTGAGCCTTAATTATTATCCAATCTTTTATTGGCACTCGCATTTTTTTAGTTTACCTTTTGCCAAATTATATCATTGTCCCACGCCCCATGAACATGTTAATTTTTTAGGATAAAAGTTTATTTGGGAGGAAGGGTGGAGCATGGAAATAATTTGATTGCTATGGTTGTTTGAAAAAAAAAAGAAAAAAATTGCTTTTATGGTTCCCTATCCAACTTTCAATTGAGTGAGCCTTTCGGATACTCAATGGGTTGGGAATGTTCACGTTATATTAGGAGGGACTTAGGGAGGAACTCCACCATAAAGCAATGAAAAAAAAAGAGAGCAAAAAAAATGAAAAAAAAAGGAGAAAGCATGATGATACGTGGTGGCAGAAAGATTATTTTGAAGATGTGAAATTGGGGATAGTGGCATATGCTCCAATTAGATCCTAGAAATCAATGTGTTCATGGGTGATTTGAGCTTAAATTTACCATTATCTCACCGTTAGCCCAGCCTTACATTACAACCTGAGGAAAGTCCTATTGATTTTTGGTTGGATGATTAGCTTACATTAGTGGAGAGAGGAATGAAAAGCAAACCTATGAGATTTGGTTATAATTATAAAGAGTTTTTGAGAGGTTGCATACCAATGTGAACTTATCTGGATTGCATATAATTCGAAAAGATGAGGACTCACACACACACTTGGATCACATAGTTAGAATTGGTTTTAACTTATGAGTCTATTTCAATGTTTGGATGAAATTTTTGTTTGTCTTTGAATTGTGATTTCGAGCAATTATGGAAGGAAGTCATGGGGGGGGGGGGGGGTGTTAGCTTAAGTATGTCTTATATCTTGCTTTTGCTCGAGGACTAGCAAAATGTTAAGTTTGGGGGTTTGATAACTCTATAAAAATAGAGTTATTTTATCTACTCTAGGCAATAAATAATGCAATATTTGTTAGAATATATTTGGATTTCCTTTTATTTACTTAATTTTTCCTTGTTTATGCAGAATATTGAGATATGGAGAAAATAAGGAAAATATGGCAAAAAGAAGGAAAGGAATATGCAACCCAGAGAAGAGTTAGAAGGTGGATATCACATTCGGAATTCTACGATTTATTCCCTAATTTTATACGAAAAAGAAGCAATTGCCCTGTGAGAGGAGTCTTGGATGTTATCATATAAATATGATAACTTGGGGGAACATGGAGTTTTTTTAGATCGTTTTTGTTTTCAGTGTTATGAGAGTTTTTCAAGTATTTTGAAGAGAAGACAAAAGTGGTGACAGAATTCTTGTTCTTTGATTCAAGATGTTTGGTTTAATTTATATTTTCGTTTTTTCTTCTATTATGTTCTAATTTTCTTTGTTAGAGCTACGATGTAGCCTAACCATGATGATATGAATTTCATGCTTTTTATGCTTTGCAAGTAATTTCATTCATGTGAGTTATATATTGTTGTGCTTAATGCGTTTAGGCGATTGGCCACCACTTGAATGATCCGATGTGCATGTTTGAGACTGAGAAGTAATAATATGCAATTGCTCCTTATAATATATAACCATGAATTAAATGTGGATAGAAATATACCATGTTATTTGTGTAGCTTTCGGTGATAAGGTGGTCCAAAAGATTCATTGTAAATCGGGAATATTCACAGATTTTAATGCGCTTATGTTTATTTAAATTCACATAGAAATATAGTGAATTGATAAACTGAGTAGGTTTGCTATACCTAGAGATAGGATAGTAAATAGACTAGGAAATTCCGCTATCACATGTTTGATATTGTTCTTGTATGCATAATGATCGGAAATTCATATATAGTGGTTATGGTGAAATCGGATGCTCTAACATATTTTATCTGATTGATTATCTGCCTTTAGTTTAAAAAATTTCGTTTTTAAAAATTGTCAATTTTTATTTGTTCTCAATTATATTTTGATCAGTTAGATAAATTTCTGTTCCATCCATATCTACAAGAATCAATGCTCCTCCTGGTAGGATATTCTCAACAATATATGGTCGTTCATAATTTGGGGTGGACTTCTCATGACGATTTGAATTATTGGGAATGACTTTCTTTACCACTATATCCTCTATTTCAAAGTGCCTTGGTCTGACCTTCCGATTGAAAGATTTAGCAACTCTCTTTTGATAGGCTTGACCATGACATATGGCTCTTAATCTTTTTTCGTCAATCATGTTGAGTTGTTCATATCTCTGTTGAGTCCATTCGGCCTCTGAAAGCTTCAATTGAGATAACACTCTTAATGAAGGAATCTCCACTTCGACAGCTATTATGGCTTCCATTCCATAGACTAAGGAAAATGACGTTGCCCCAGTAGACATTTGAATCGAAATTCGATATGCCATTAAAGCATATGGTAACCTTTCATGTCAATCACAATAGTTCTCAGCTGTTTTGGATAGTATCTTCTTGATATTTTTATTTGCCGTCTCTACTGCTCCGTTCATTTGTGAGCGATAAGGAGATGAGTTCAAATGTTGAATGTGGAAATACTTGAGCAAATCATCTACAATTTTGTTGTTTAGGTTTGATCTATTGCCGGTGATGATTGCTTCAGGAACTCCATATCTGGCAATGATGTCATGCCTAATGAACCTTGCCACATTCTTGGCGGTAACATTGGCATAAGAACTTGCCTCAATCCATTTAGTGAAGTAATCAATTACAACCAAGATAAAGCGATGTTTATTTGAGGCTTTAGGGTTGATTGAACCAATCATATCAATGCCCCACATCAAGAATGACCATGACTCAGACATTTGATGAAGCTCATTTAGAGGGGCATTGATTCAATCTCCATATACTTGGCACTGATGACAACATCTCACATGTTGAATGCAGTCTGTTTCCATTGTCATCCAATAGTATCGTAACCTCATGATTTTGCGGGCTAAGAGGTGACCATTCATATGTGGACCATATTCGCCTTCATAATTTTTTTTCATGATCTGATCAGCTTCTTTGACATCTACATACCTTAGCAAGACTGAATCAAATGATCTCTTATAAAGAGTATGATCACTAAGAAAGAACTTTGTGGCTATCTTCTTTATGAACTTTCTATCAGCCGATTGGCTCCCTTTTGGAAATTCGCCCCTATCCGGAGATAATTCTTGACATCATGGAACCACGGTTCATCATCAACTTCTGCTTGAACTACCATGCAATATGCTGGTTGCTATAGAATGTTGATTCTTAATGGTTTAATATCCAAACCATCTTCTGCCTGTAACAAAGATGATAGAGTAGCCAAAACATCCGCAAAATGATTCTAAGCTCTTGGTAAATAGTCAAATGTGATCTCTTCAAATTCTTCCATTATTTCTTCCAAGTGCTTGTGGTAAGGCACCAACTTGGAGTCTTGAGTTTGCCATTCATCCGTTGTCTGTAAAATGATAAGCATAGAATCTCCGTACACTTGCGACTTCTTAGCTTTCATTGAGAGAGCTAAATGTAGGCCAAGTATGTATGTTTCATATTCAGCAATGTTGTTAGTGCATGGGAATACTAGCTTGGCACACACCGAATAATGTTAGCCCTCTGGGGAAATTAACATTGCCCTAGTTCCTGATCGAGATAGGTTAGTTGCACCATCAAAATACATAGTCCATTTATCATCCACTACCACCAAGACACGGTCATCAAACTCATCTTTTTCACGATTGGTAGATCCTTGCGAATTCTCTGCTAACATATCCACAATAGCTCGTCCTTTAATGAATTTCTGTGAAGAACTTCTGATGTCAAATTTTGACAATAAGACTTGCCATTAAGCCAACTTTCCGACCAAGGAAGATTTCTCTAATAGGAACTTGATCAGGTCATTCTCAGTTACCAGTAAGATTTGATGATGAATGGTATATTGCCTTAGCCTATGCAACACCTAGATTAGTGCAACACATGTCTTTTCAATTGTAGGGTAATTCATCTTAGATGTGGTAAATTTCTTACACAAGTAGTAAATGGCTTGCTCCTTACCATCACTTGGTCTCTTTTAAACCAATATTGCTCCTAACGACTCATGGTGAATCATTAAATATAAAATCAACGGAATCCTAAGGATTGGTGGTATGAGCACTCGTGGACATACCAGATATTCTTTGATCTTATTAAAGGCTTGTTGGCACTCTGCATCCTATTTTACTTTGGCATTTTTCTTAGTAACTTGAAGAATTGCTTCGCAGTTTCAGAAAGCTGGTAGATGAATCGAGCAATATAGTTCAGCCTCCCTAATTAACTTCTCACTTCTTTCACCGTTGCAGGAGTCTTGAGATCATATATCGCCTTTATCTTCGAAGGATCTATCTTGATGTCTTTGTTACTAACCACAAATCCCAATAGCTTGCTAGATTTTGCCCTAAATACACACTTATTGAGATTTAATCTCAGCTTGTATTTCCTGAGTCTTTTAAACAATTTCCTGAGCACCACCACATGATCTTCTCCTTGTTTGGATTTGGCAATCATATCATCTACATATACTTCAATTTCCTTGTGCATCATATCATAAAATAATGTGACCATTGCCCTTTGATACGTTGCATCGGCGTTCTTCAAATCGAAAGGCATCACTTTGTAACAGAATGTGCCCCATGATATAATGAAAGATGTTTTTGCTTTATCCTCTTCTTCATGAGAATTTGATTATATCCGAAGAAATCGTCCATGAATGAAAATGTTTCAAACCCAACAGTGCTATCCACTAGGACGTCGATATGTAGTAGTGGAAAATCATCCTTAGGACTTGCTTTGTTTAGGTTGCGATAATCAACGCAGATTCGAACTCTTTCATCTTTCTTTAATACATGAACTATATTAGCAACCTATTTTGGATAAGGTACCACTTCAATGAATTCGACCTTGAGCAATTCATTACTTCTTCTTCTATCTTCTTTGCCAATTATGGCTTTGTTCGCCGAAGTTTTTGCTTCTTAAGAGGAATGCTTGGATCGATTGGTAGAGCATGTTCAACAATATTTGGATCAAGACCAGGCATATCTGTGTAAGACCATGCAAAGATATCCTGCTATTCCTTAAGTAACTCGGTAATCCTTTTTGCTTCTTTGGAAGAAAGGTTTTTTCCAATCTTAACTTCCTTGGGATTCTCATCATCACCCAAATTGATAGTAACTGTTTTTTCTTGTGTAATTGGTTTTGATTCTTCATGTCAAATCCACTCCTTTTTGACCCATTCTTCATCTTCATCAACTTCCTCAATGTCACAATTGATTTCCTCTGAAGGACTTGAGCCACATAAGAACTTATTACGAAATGCGAATGCTCATGCCTGACATGCAACAAACATGGTTAGTAAATTACATGTGAAATATAGCAATGAATGGAGTTTTATGAAAAGCTTTTTTGAAAATCCATTTTAGAACTCGTTTTGAAATAATGGGAAGAGAAAGCTAATCCTCATATCCTTGGACGTCTTTGCTCTTCATAACAATCATTTTCACAACCAGGAGCAATATGGAAACTCAAAGCCTCAAGTCCTCACTAGTGAGGACGATATTCATCATAGGTTTGGTTCTTATTTCTATACGTCCTTAACAAAACATTGAACACTTTATTGATTATTGAGAAATTCATTACAACTACATCAACATGAATGGAAATTGCAATTGAATTAAAATTGCATACGGAATTGAAAAGAAACTAGAAACTATGAAAGTAACAATGCAATGCAAAAAGACAATAGAGCAAGTAAAGAATTGGAAAGATCTTCCTACTCCAATTCGTAGGTATCTTCCACTTCAATTATGATGACATGACATTGTTAGCATTCTCCTCAAATAGCCTAGGTAGAATAGGTTCTTCCTCTGTATGAATGTCCTCCTCTTGGAGTAATTTGGAAGGCCCAGGATAAGTCTTCTTGATATGGATTTGATGATAGGCAAGCTCTTTTGCCTTGCCTTTCCATGTTGTCGGGTTAATGGCTCAACCACCTTAGCCTCCGTGGTTTCCACAGTTTCCATGGCCGTAGCCTCAACCTCGACCTTGGCTTCCATGATGGTCATTAGAACTTTCTCCTACGTATCCAATTCCATGCCTCTTTTTGGCCACTAGTAGAGTGATTGGTTCTTTAATTCCTTGGGCATTTGCTCCAAGTCCATCTCCAGGAACGAATCCATATTGACAAAATACATTTCCAGACATGATTGACGGTGGCGAAAGTTTTGGTTTCCTTATAACGGTACCTGTAGGTACATATACCATTGAGATCATTTCGAATGAATGATAACTTGGTTCTTCTTTCACTTTAGGCTCTATGTATGGTATCGCACTCTCTTTGCGGGTAGCGAAGTCCGTCTCTCCGTGCACGGTGTTCATCTTTCCATTGATAGCAAACCTAACCTTCTGATGTAGGCTTGATGGAATAGCGCCTGTAGTGTGAATTCATGGACTTCCTAGCAATAGATTGAAAGTTCTTAGAATGTCAAAAATTTGGAAGTTAATCAGGAATAGAGCAAAACCAATGAACACTTCCAGCTTGATGTCCCCAATAATATCCTTCTTCATGCCATCAAACGATCTCACAATTACTTTCGTTGGTTTAATGGATTCTTCACTGATCCCTAATTGGTGTAGTGTACCTAATGGGCATAGATTGAGAACAGAGCCATTATCAATTAGTAGTCGTGATACCTCCTTACCTCGGCACTTTACCGCGATGTATAACGCTTTATTATGTGAGCGTCTATCCATTGCAAAATCCTCATATGAGAAGGCGATATGATCTTTAAGGAGAACAGTGCCAACAAAATCTTCCAACTGTACTCCGTTAATAGTTTCTCGCACATGCACCTCGTTGAGAAGCTTCATAAGGACCAATTTGTGTTTTCAGATGTTTTGAATAGGTCCAATAGAGAGATTTGTGCTAGCATCTTCCTTAAATGCTCTATCACCTCGAATTCACTTGTTCTCATGACTGATAGAAGTTGCTTGGTATCTTCCTCTGTTACTCCTTTCTTTTCCACTTCTCCCTCCTTTGGGGTATAATATCTACCTGATCGGGTTATGGCATCAACTTCTTTTGCAGAATGGTCCCATGGTATGCATTTGGTGTCGAACTCAATTTTTGAGGGTAGAGCAATCACCACCGGTTGCAGTTCACTTTTCTCAATCTTTAGCTCATCGATAGGAAGTTGGATAGTGATCGACTCTATGTGACATTCTTCTTCTCTGTACTTATCGACTTCGTCCAGCTTAATCACAAATGGTGTTATCATGGACACCATTCCTTCGTCACTTACTTCGTCCATTCCATCCCAACCATCAGGTATGATGACCTCTTTTTTGAAGGCCCATGGAGGGGGTGTATACTTGACGTGAAAGTTATAGCGACTGCTATCTTAACCCAACAAGTCCACGGTTTCATCTTGCTTCCGTGTCTTGTGAATGAACTGTTTGTCGCCTTGTCGAATCCTTTCTTTCTCTTGTTCTTCTTTATCTTCTTTCTCTTTGAGGTTTAACTTGTCCATTTGAATTTCATCCATATCGCCCCATCCATCTGGCACGATAACCTCATTTTTAAATGCCCATAGTGGAGGTGTATACTTGACACGAAAATTGTAATGACCACTGTCTTATCCTAGCAAGTCAACAGTTTCACCATGCTCTCGTGCTTCACGGATGAATCGTTTATCACCTTGGCGGATTTTCTCTTCTTTCTGTTCTTCTTCGTCTATTTCCTCTTTGGGATTCATCTCGTTGTTCTGAGTTTCTGCTTTGGGATCAACTTCATCATCCATTTTGCCCCAACCATTGGGCACGATGACTTCATTTTTGAAGGCCCATGGAGGAGGTATGTATGTAACTTGGAAGTTATACTTCCCAGAATCCTGTCCTAAGGTGTCTATTACTTCACCATTCTGACGTGCTCTATTGCGAAACTGAGCATCACCACGACGAGTAGCTTTTACTTTGGCTTAGTACTCATTGTCTTCATTGGACTTAATTTTCTCATCTTCGTCCCAAATCATGCCAACTACATTGTGCTTTGGAAGGGGATTCCGATGCACATTTGGTTCGGATTCTTGGAAGTTGAGAATCTTTCTATTAATGAGCTGTTGTACTTTGATTTTTAAAGTGAGGCAATTATCCACGTCATGCCCCAGTTTTCCCATGTGATTCACACAGGTTTTTGACTCATCCAACCCAAGAAATCTTGGAGGATTCTCTCTTGGTACCTCTTTTGCCACCATGTGCCCTTCAAGTAGCATGGGTAATAATTTCGACAACGGTCGTAGCAACGGTGTAAATTGCTTTACGAGCTTTTTTCTTGGCTCAAATGGCTT